TCATTAAATCACAAATTTAACAGGAGTTATAATTCATGGGTGGCAACTACTTCGCTACTACGGGGTGCCACCGACAATTATACATCTCATCCAACAGCTGTACGACAATGCTGCATGCCAAGTAATCCACAACGGGAAACTTACGAAACCCTTCGAAGTGAGGACAGGAGTAAGATAAGGCTGCCTGCTATGGCCAGTGATTTTCCTCGTTTCAGTAGATTAGATAATGCGACAAACAGCGGGCAATGAGGAAACAGGCATAAAATGGACTCACACAAAAAACTTGGAGGATCTGAACTTCGCCGATGATATGTGTCTGATTTCCCACAAACTGGAAGATATGCAAGGGAAAAGCAACAAGTTGGCAGAAGAAGCATCAAAGATAGGACTTCAGGTGAACATAGAGAAAACAGATGTAGGTGATGAAGATTCCTGGGCAACACCACCAACAGCAACAATAACAACAGACAACAATCAGCATAAATGGGTGGAACCTGAAAAAAAAAAACCTCTTTTACCTACCTGGGAAGCATCGTTTCAACTACAGGCAGACGGAACTGACGAGGATATCAAAGCAAGAATCGGGAAAGTAAGACAAGCTTTCATTACTCTCAAGTCTGTGTGGAGGTCAACAGCACTACTCAGCATCAAAAATAAGATCCGATGTGAAGTCAGTGCTACTTAACATACGGATCAGAGACTTGCACTGTGCGTCACGAAGGCCACTTCAAACAAACTACAGACCTTCACCAACAGCTGTCTTCGCTCAATACTACTCAAGATGAGATGGCCAGCCAGAAAAAATCAGCAGCAGGGAAGGATCTCTGGCAATGAGCAAACCAACCAGGAACCGATTGTGCAACAAATAAGCAGGAAGAAATGGAGATGGGTTGACTGGCCATACTCTGAGGAAACCATCAAGTGAGTGACATCACACGCCAGGCCATTGCTCGAGTCGAATCCGAAAGAGAAGCGACGATTTGGTCGTCCAAGGGTGACTTGCAGGAAGTCACATAGTATCACATAGTCTTTTTTAAGCAATCCAGGAAAGAATAAGCAAGAATGAACAGTAAAGAAGAATAGGTAAAATACACGACTTGACAAACTGTAAGAGGAGGAGTGGTTGAGTTATGCCTGAGTGCCTTAACTTCTTAATGTAAAAAGTCAGAAAAAATATTGTTTTAGAAGTCGCTAAGACACGGGTGGATCAGAATAGGTCAGAAGAAAGAATTAATCCAAGGTACTTAACTTCAGACTCCGTTTCTACATCAGTTTTAAAATCTACCGTAGATTACTAAGCTTCCACTCGACTGATATGTTCAAGTGTTGTTAGGGATAACAATTTGTTTTAAAGGAACAGTTAAGGTTGAAAGGAATAACACTGAAAGGTGACAAATAATGTCCACTATATATATTATGATGAAATAGTCGTACTACGAAAGGTCTGCAATTTGAAAACGGCAACTACTTTCTGCATTTCAGTGTACCTTCTCACAATTACTGTAAAGCATACCGTTTATTTCTAATGTTAACTAATCTTATCAAGTGGTAAGCTAGATGATGAAATTAATTTGAAGCCATACTTTTATGGTTGGTTGAAAGACAGTGAAGTAGTAAGATATCCACCTAAATTTGTGGCTTCATTAACTTACTGTAATGCGAAAATGCCTAACTTAGCTGCTGACCTCATGAAACCAGTCAACAGAATTCCGTAAGTAGTTGGTACTTGATTATTGTTGTTTTTTTTATTTTATTATAGCTTGACTCCACACAGTATTTTTGATACAAGTATGGAATTTTCAGCATGTGATATCCGTAGCCCAAATTTAGCAGGCCGACCATTGATATCAGGTGTGCATCGGCCGGGGATCGAACTCCGGACCATGTGCATGGTTGGCGAGAGGTTCGACTACAAAACATTTCGCTAGTCTGTGTAAAAAAACCTTTAGGACCAAAATATGAAAAGTATCACAGTACATTCCTTTACTTAGAAGGTGATATGCATGTAGTGCGTCGGTGGCACAGCGGTTAGGACGCTCGCCGACCATGCACATGGTCCAGGGTTTAATTCCCGGCCACCGACGCACTCCTTTACTCTTTAAGCCAGTAATAAAAAAGCTGGTAAAGAGGAAAGGTTGGGCATGAGACTAGCAACCGCATCCTGTAAAACTAAACACTGCTACAGAAACTTCAAGCCTCTAACTTGAAGCCCTATGTTCCACTGGGAACGTGAAGGAATTAATAATAAATAATAATTTACTAACATTAAACAGCTCATAATTTCATTGTTTATAATTTTACTTATGATTTAAAATGTCTGCATTTGTAGAGAAACGTTTTTAAAATAAAACTAAAATGTCAGAATAAAATAAACAGTTTGTCTGGATACGAAATTCTGACTGCTTAAAACTGTGCTTACGCATGCATAATCATTTTCCCAATGTAAACTCTGTCCACACTACGTGTTTTAAGTGTTTCGGAGGCAAAGAACGCCAATAAGGATGCAACATACGTTAAGACTCTTTAATGTAGCAAAGGGGTGCGAGTAGACTGGTAAACCTTTCAAAAAACAAAACTTGGGACCTTAAACAAAAAGATATTTCACTTAATTTTTCTGTAACCTGTTGAAGAATGTAAAATGACAATAAAAATGAAGGTTGTTCAAAACCTTGATATGAAATAGTGGAGCGTATAAAGAAGTGTCCGAAATTCACATAAACACGACATCACGGCGAAAGATAGGATTGTTAATTATTTTGCTGAGATTCTTCAAACACTGATTCCACAAATGTCGAAAATTCAGCTAGTAAAGCCAATATTTCCTTAAAATGCTCAAGAAAAAGCAGACAAAATGTGTGAAACTTAGTATGTCAGTGCTTTAAGTTGTTATGATTCTCTCTGATAATCTAAGCAAACTCAGACGAGGTAACAACAATAATAAAATTGGCCAAATTAACACGACAATGAGTCATAATTTGGATCAATAACCATTTTTCACATAATGAGTTAATATACAGGCGATGGAATAATTTGTTAGTTGTGTCACATGATACTTCTTCCAAGAGCTGTGTCATTTACTAAACCTTTTGTAATTAGTAAACATTGTTTTAGTGAGACAAATATGAAGTTTCATCATCAGTAAAACTTCATTCTAATGCCTAAAGTGAGTTAGATATGCATAAAATCTTATACAGTTTATTTAAATAACTATTGGCCTTTCAACCAAAGAAAAAGTTATTAACTTGAATACTTTTTTGACTTGTATTTTCAGTTGAGGTTAGTGAACATTCACTTTCACACTGAATTCAGTATTTTCCCGAGTTTTGACCTTAGTAATTTGCATATCGTTCCCTTAGTATTATCTTGTTAATGGATGTTTTTTGAATTACAATATCTAAAATTGAGTTTAATTTTAATTCCTTAGATTAATCATCCCGTTCACAAATTCAAGTCTGCTTCAATTGACTGAGAACCTTCAACCTTAAATACAGACCCCACATTCAGTAAGTTGTTAAAAAAACGTTGAAGAGGAAAAAAGCACGATCAGGCGTTAACACCTGCGTTTCACTGAAAAGATCAGTAAGCTGACCATTTCGAAAGTGAAGCATAAGAGTTGTCACCTGAAGTTTGACTGTCCGTTTTCCGCAAAATGTTTACTTTATTTATATTTTAGGTTATACAACAAAATATGATGCCTTGAAACATAATGGTGTGGAAAGTTGCATAATGGGAGCCTAACCATGGTATTTTTTTAATTAATATTAAAGGCAGTCGTAATTAGTCCTTAAAAAGTAACTGCATCTAATCTGAACACCAGCTCCTATTGATTTAATAATTTAAACATAATTATTGGAATTAAAGACAAGAAGATCAAAAAATGTGGTTAGCAGAAACAGTTTAATGTATTCATAATAATTTTCAAATTTCCATTTTAAGTCCAATAGGTTGCAAACATGGGTTTTTGTCAATAAGTTTATGATCACGTTATTTTTTCTCAGTGAACGGTCTAAGGGTAACTTTTGATACATTAGCCAAAAACCATAAAGCAGTACACTTAACAAGAATAATTACTTCCATCTAAAGCAGGTGTTAGACATATATTTCCAAAGAACCACTTTCATTGTGTAATGCGACAAGTGTAATCCCAAAACCAATGTTTTGTATACTTGTGGTCACAAATGATTGACATTATTGATAAGCTTCCCTAATTCTACACAAAAAGCCTCAGTTTGATCCCAGTAAACTTAATAATTAAGTAGATAGAACTGATTTTTGCAGTGTTTAAAGACAAACTTTTGGATTATTCCATATTGATCTGTTTACTGGATATATCATCTTCTGGATGACGTTTCTCACACAAGTTATTATTTATAGACATATCAATTGAAATCCTGGCAAAAAAGAGACCAAATCTTAAATTTAAACTCGAAGCTAAATAAAGAAATTGACATTCCACATGACACATGATACAATACACCTATTTGATTTCCACAATTTTTATGCAGCTCGGCAGTAGAATATATTGTTTTTATGGACACAAAAGTGGCTTGAAATCGGGAAAATATAAACTTTTCAAAAGAACTTAACACTTCCAGTAGACAGGAGTATTTTCATTACTCAGGGGTGACTATGCAGCGAAAACACCCAGTGTGAATAATCCTCCAGAGTTTCAGTCATCAAACCATTAAATACCTGGAGTAATAAATATTCACGAACACGTGTCGTAACTGAGTGCTTATACAGCTAGGGGTCATAACAAGTGTTGCATTTGAAATAAACGTTTTTACACTTTGTGGCACACTGATTCAGATTGAAGCGTAAATTTAATGACAAAGGCGAACGAATGCTTGAGAGATTGTAAAAATCTTACGCCTAAAAGTACTTATAACTACATTATAATGAATGAGTATGAGTTTCTACGAAAGCTAAGTGCATGCATTGAAAGATGCTTTAAATTAAGTGAAATATTTAGAAATAAGCACATCTAAAGAAGCACTCACTTGCAGCGTTCAATGCATCTGTCTTCAACGTCCGAAATAAATAACGCACAAACTCCCCCGTTCAGACATGGAAGCACTTTATCTTTGCAAAGATACGTACCCTGACTGTATAAAATAATTAAAAACAGAGTTCTAGACATACTCATCGCATCCTATGTCAATGACAAGTGCATCTGTGGTCGGTTTTCTTGAAGAGAGCAAGCGGGTTATTTCTAATTGATTACTTACGGAGTGAATAGACGTCTAGATGTTGTAGTGCCCATAAAATTTCGATTTAAATGGTCTGTGATCAAAGGATGCAACACTATTCACGAGCCCTCATTTAAGCATACAGAAAAGTGAGAAAAGAGAAACATTTTATAAATAGTACATAAATACTTATGACCTAATACACTAACCAACGACAGGTTAAAACAAAAATTTGAGTGTGGTAGTTAATGGTATGTCAGATGTCATAGACCTATGATTAATCAATAAAATGTAATGTTTTATTACTTCATACATAAATTCTGAATATTGTTTTGCTTTTCTAACCTATACGTGAGTAAATGCGACGTTCCCGGCAGTGGACATTTATTCATATGTCTACAGGTTCACTGTAAAACTCGCAGATATTAATGTGACTGGTACCACATATGAAGCTTTCATTTGTAAATGCTCTTAGGTCTGCCAACGAGTTCTTTTATTTTCTGCTTTGGAAAAAGTGATCGAAAATTCTGTTATATAAGAACATTGAATATGTTAAGATGCGAAAAAAAAGATATTCAGTGGTACAATTCTGCTTCTTGGTAATTTCAAGTTATTCACAAAGGCTTCCAACTATGTGGTCCCTGCCTGTTAAGATGTTTAATGACTGTTTCACATGTACGTAAGACTGTAACACTAGTACTCCTTCAGTCATAAGTGTGGGATTTGGGAGACAGGTGGAGGTTGAGAAGGTCTAATAATTGAAAGGAAACGTGTTTCACTGCCACTTATGGTTACTAAGCGTAAATCGCGATTTGATTCCCCCTCAGAGTTAAACGTCAAGGCATACGAATTTTAATTCTGCTTATTTAAACGATAACTATGTGTCCACTTTAGGCTGCAGTCTTCAATTTGTTTAATTGACGAAAAACAACTCTCCAGAAATGAGAACACTAGTAAGGTAGTTGAAATCCAACCGAAATCAAGTGAGATTCATAATAAAAGACAGGCCACAACGTCAAAAGTTTGTTGTTCAATCAACAAAAACTCAGCATAGCTAGCGTAATTATATAGCAGTTCGATCATCGGGTTCATAGTGGGTTAATATAAATACAATGAGAAGCGTCGGTATAACACAAATAAACACTTCTGATCGTATTGCCCTGATCTTCTGCCAACCAGTAGACGTCAAAGCCACGTTGGGGAATGTCACGTCCAGCGAAAATGCGAGCAGTTCAAATGGGAAAGGTCACTGAACGCTCTCTCAGTGTTCATTATTAATGATAGTCCCAGCCTAAATAGGGACTGGTTTTTCTCTGTAGCGACAAGTATGCGATAACTCAACTGTCACTAGGAAAACCTGACTCAACAAACACAAGGCTGAAATGAAAGCTTTAGATCGTAGGAAGCCTCAACAAACCACAAATTTCAAAATGGGTGTATTTGGTGCAGTCACTATGTAGCTCTTTTGGCCAGAAATTTTTCGAATTTGTTACTTTCTGTCAGAAGAGATCAGATACAAGTGGCCCCATGAAACTTCCTTTCCTATTTTATATATAAGCTCGTATTCACGTCGTTACATGCCTCATCGATAACTGATTTCACTAATAAATCTGGTTCGGGAAGTCGAAAATTTATAACTTAGAAACAGTGTCTTATCCAGAGGAAACCACCAAATCAATCCCCCCTTCAAAAAAGTTATTTCAAAGAGCTTGAGTGATCCATAAGAACAACCTTGAGAAGCAAGGATAAGACAATTGCCTCTATCTCCACTGCTCACTCACCCACCAGACGGTAGCCTATTGGAGATCAAAGAAGTAAGTTCATTCAACTGAGTCTCGCTTTTAACCGTCAGTTTTTTTAGCTGCGCTGCGTCATGTTTGGTTTCCAAGATACAAGAAAGTGGCTTTGCTCTGTGGCGTGATTGCGTACCTCAGTAACCTCTTCATACCGCTGCCAACAAAGAAGTTCTTGGGCAGCCGTGGGGGTTATATTCTTACAGTTGGTCAAAGCAGATCGACGAATCAGTCAAACCTTCAAAGATCAATTTGTTCATCTGTGGGGATAGAAATACAAAATATGTCGCTGAAATTTCAGCGGACAAGAGCTCAGCGGTGGCGCGGTGGTGTTGGGCATCCCTACAACCTATTTCTACCATCGCCAGTAGATACACCTTTGAACAGCCGCAAGTGTTATATTCTCCCCTCGCTGGTTGATGCTGTGTTATGAACAGCCTGGCGACTAGCTTACCTGGGCCAGGCTAAAGGGTCTGCAGGTGGTGTAGCTAAAGCCTGGGCTTGGCAGAGAAGATGGCAACACGACAATCGTGATAGTTATTCCTAGTTGAGGCCAATCGGAAACGAGTTAGAAGTCGTTCAAGAAGCGAATCCAACCTGTTTCCTGGAGGCCTTACGAGGCTGATGAGTTTATTCTACCCAAGTGGCGCGGGTTTATTACCATGCTATAATTCTTAGTTGTGAATGACGGTGAAAAATGAAAGTGTCCTGTGATCTTTCCCATTTGAACTGCTCGCATTTTCGCTGGACGTGACATTCCCCAACGTGGCTTTGACGTCTACTGGTTGGCAGAAGATCAGGGCAATACGATCAGAAGTGTTTATTTGTGTTATACCGACGCTTCTCATTGTATTTATATTAACCCACTATGAACCCGATGATCGAACTGCTATATAATTACGCTAGCTATGCTGAGTTTTTGTTGATTGAACAACAAACTTTTGACGTTGTGGCCTGTCTTTTATTATGAATTTCTGTTGGATTTCAATTATCTATTAATGCCTTCAGTTATGTATTGATATCTTCTGGCAGCAGCTGTGTTATTGACTGTTTCTGATCCAGCCGATTAACATTAATAAGAACGCTAACAGCCAAGTTTATGCGTTTGGAACAACACAGAGATTCCTATTTAATTATTTGAACCAGAAGTTTTGTGGTTTCTCGTTTTGAGAAGGGGGATGTATAGTTAGTCAGAATTCGTCTAGAGTCTTTTGACGAAAATTCAGGATTAATATATTCAATTGACTGGGCAGTTTTTAAGAGATTCAATGTGAAATTTGCATGAAGACATGTTTGTTATGGGTGTTGGAGTGCATTAAATACCTTCAGGTTTTCTTTCACATATTTTAACAGAATGTTTCCATATTTGTGAATGACAGGTGGCGCATGCTGATCAGCAGATTTGGTAGTGGTCACAAATGTGAATCGCTCCGATCTGTAGGACAGCAACATGCATTATTTTGGCAGCTCGAGAACTAAACATGAGTTTAGATACTAAATGTATAAAAAAAATAGACTTTAAAAAAAATTAATTGAAAAAATAAAACAATAATGACTGTACAGTTTTAGCTTGTAAAAAAATAACAATGCTTTCGCTCCTAACATCTACAAGCCTGCTCAGTTTCTTGTCAAGATGCTACCCCATGGGCTATGCACAAGTTCGCCAGACATCCTACAGGTCACTATATCCAACAGGTTCTAACCCTTCAAGCCACTTCTCTCTGAAACGTCACTTATATACTTCACGATAATCCTTCTACCTAATCACTATTATACTCTATTTTATCTCAACTTCCTAGGACTCTAATGAAGCTGAAATTTTTTCCCTCTTCTCATTTACACCCTTTTCTCGCGTAAAGTTCGGTTGCTCTGATGATAAAAACAACAACACTCATGTTTGAGAATAAATATATTTTCATAGAAAGCGTCATAGTTTTCCATGGTAAGACCAATATGGTTAGCATCATACATTGCAAATGTGTATTATCATTTCAAGTACTACATAGCTTCTTGTATTTATCTTGTAAATATACTTTTAATAATGTATTATTCATAATTGCATTCTATACCATTTTGCAGCTGCGCCAGATTTTCTTCAATTCCTAAAATAGCGTTCAAGCATTTGAAGGCATAGCACTCACACAAATATATGTTGTTTATCGATTGGTCATAACTATCATCGGGAAATGGAACGAATTTCGGGTTGTCGCTCAACTTCGATGGTGACCTTCGTGAAATATTTACAAATTAACATTTATAAGAATCTGTTCTGATCGCTTGTACTATAACTCAACAATATGAACTTTTTGAAAAAGTGACAATGTATGCTAATTAACAATTGTTATTCGTAACATAATTGATCGTGCCTGTAAAAATGGCATGCATTTCATGTAAACTTACCCGTTTATACAAAATATATATTATTATTATTAAATAAACGACTATCTATATTTTGCCACAACAGGCAGGCTTAGTTAATTTAAGAGTATAATTTTGGTATTAAGGTTGTGTAAAATCCTATATCAGATAAGGATCTTCGATGCAACATAAAAACAAATTGTTGATAACTGGATGGCGTTTCACGCACATTTTACTGCCAACAATCATATCATATGACTAATACGATTTACTCTGGTGGATTCAGGTGAAATGAATCACATGCGAAATGAACCACAACTCTGAGAATTGAATGAAGTGTTTTCGACGGAGTTGACCGCGAAGTAATTCAGAAACTTCTTCAGTACTGTTAAGTGCCTCAAATCTTTGCCAGACTTACTCAATAACTACCTGGCAATATCCCTGTCAACTGATCAACAAAGAAAACTTAGAAAAGCAATTGAAATAAATACAAGAATAAGACAAGACTAGTTTCCTACTATCACTGATGAAATTTTTAATTACGGTGGACTGGATTACGAGAAAGAGCTTGCGGAGCGAAAAGGCAGATTATATTGATCCGATAAGAACACTCTAATTGAACTGGATCTCACGAATGAATTTTGCCTAATGTCGCACAAACTTGAAGACAGAGGGCAAAAAGGAACCGGCATGGATGAGAATGTAAGTGTGAAAGGCCGTCTTATTTGGCATTTAGTATCTGAGTCTTGACTTACATGGAGACTCTCCATGGAGTCAGACTAACCTTGAGACAGACTCTGAACTCAGGAACTAAGTAACGGATGGGTCTTGAGTGAAACGGGGTCGTTTCAAACAAATCTTGATGGAAAACTCCTTGCAAGCCTCTAGGTCTCATACCCATCCATGTCGGGAAGAAAACCTTCTAACCAAGAGGCACGCTTTTTTGAGGTCTAAGTGACCGACATCTCACAAGCCTGTATCTGGCTAAAACATCTGGCTCGACCTTAGACATGCGACTAAGCAGAACTGTAGGAATTACTGCGATAATCTGTGACAGTCGCATTGTT